TCACAACATTATCAAGTAGTGCTCTTTGTTTATGAAACATTTGCTGCTGCTTTTTCAAACTTGCAGTAAGCTTCTGGATTTTGTCTTTTCTTATTTGTCCTGTCAGTGAGTGCAGCGTAGGTTGCTTAGTTGAGTAATGCCTTTTTATATTGAATTCTTTCATCACTGAAATGGATTCATTACACAGCAAACAAATAGGCTTACCATTGTGCAGGATAAAAAAGAATTCTTCAGTCCATTTTTCTTAAAACTGGCGACCCTCTGCATCTACTTTTCGTTTCTTTCCACCAGACATCATTTTCGTATACAAAATAATATTAGTAAGCACTCGAAATGCACACAATTTGACGGCAGTTCGCTTGGATATCGCTCGTCGAAGTTATCACCTCGGTAGCTCAAGTAGAACTGAACTAAAGTTCCCATGCCCCCTCCCGGGTTGAGTGCCCTGAAGTAGAAGCTTTCCCCCCCAGCTAGTTAGCGAGGAGAACCTACTACCCCACTCCATCTACCCCTGCTCTCCGAGCGCTCCTCAACTTACTGATGGGCACTTCAGCAAGATTGACATCTAACCTCTTTTGGTTGAAAGTCAGCCTTTAGGTGCTATTCTTTCGCGATCGGTTAAATTGTGACTATTCCTAACTGAATTTTTGCATGGGGGCCCCCAAAAACTAACCGGCGGCTATTGTTGTTAGCGTTGAGCATTCCTCAGTAAATCTAAGGATAATTGAATCGCGGTCGAGTTGTTCTGCGGTGAACCTGCTGAAAGAGAATTTATCTGATTACTATGCTTACCTGAGTCGCCGGACGGCGACTCGTGGGGGTAGTTGTTGATTTTGTTTTGTTGCCTTGGGTGTTTATCCCTTTCTCTGTATCTGGGGTCATCCATATTCAACGCATCGTGTAGATCGCGTAGCGCTGGGTTATCGTGCGATCTGATTCTATCGAACACGCTTTCTGCGTGTTCTCTCATATACACGTCCACATATTGCGTGTCCAGGTTTAAGTCTCTGTATATAAATATGTTGGGGATATAGTACGGTGCGTTTACGGCGGCCCTTACGCTCGCGTTCATAAACGACTGTAACTTCTTCCTGTATGTCTGTGCGCACTGGCCCCGGCAGTGCAGGCATACAGTATTATTGGCATGAGAATGGTCTTGATCATTAGCAACTTTACGTTCAACCCCATGTTGCTTCTGCGTCCTATGATAGGTGCCAGGCGTTGTCTGGCGTGTCTAGCCATTCCAATTCTCTGCCGTGTCTAGCCATTCCAATTCTCTGCCGTGTCTAGCCATTCCAATTCTCCGCCGTACATGAGACTGAAATGTTAATCTCCTGTCTAAGATGACCCTCAAGTATGTCGCTTTGTTGGTCCACGGAATCTCTTCCCCGTTGAAGGTTACGTTGCCTTCCGGTTGTACCAGCCTGCGAGTGAACAGTATCGCCTGACTCTTGTCAGGGTTTATACTGATCTTCCACAGGTTGGCCCACTCCTCTAATCTGTCTGCCTGTTGCTGCAAGTACCTCGTTACATGCGCTTGGCTCGTGGATCTCGCCAGCAGGGCCTTGTCGTCCGCGTAGAGCGCCAAATTGTTGAAGTTGTTCTCTGGATCGGGCACGTCCGCTGTGTATACGGAGAAGCGGTGCCGCGAATGGACTTCTCCTTGTGGGACCCCTGCTTCCAGTAGTCGAATTGTTGATAGTTCGTCTCCTACTCTGCAACGACATCGCCTGTCAGCTAGAAAAGACTGAATTAATCGGGCCATCCACCCGCTTATATAGGCAAATTGTATTCAATCCAAAACTGCTAATATCTGTAACTACTTGAATTCTTAATTTTATATATACATGAAAATTTGAAATTGATGTTTACATGTTATGTTATACATCAATTATCAACATGTTTTTTAACACAATGTTTTTTTAATTTGGTTTTTCAAAATGTCTCGCGGGGCGGAGAAAATCATACAGCGGGCTGGATCCGGCCCGCGGACCGGCTGTTGCCCACCCCTGATCTACGGCAATGGTCATATTCAGCTTGATTTATGCACCAGATTCATGAAAAATTGGACTTTTCGGATATGTTCCAACCACAGAAGCCGTAGAGGACATTTGAATGGTATTATATTCCATATCTAATGGCATCAATAGGTCTCTCAAACGAATTAGAAATTCCGATATCTCACACACCTTTTTTTTTTATTTGAACTTGAAGATAGGAAGCGCTCAATTAAAGACCTTATACGTATGTCTCTTCCCAATATATTTTTTTCAATATTTTGATTTTTGTTAGAGTGTTGGTACATGGAATGTTTCTTCTCTGCATTTGGTACTTTGTTCATGAGATGGAGCTTTTAGGAGTTAACATTTATTTGTCCTATACAAAGGTAAGGTTTCATACATACAGTCAAGCCACGTTGAAGTCAACCTAATTCGAGTCACACTGCTATTTGGGCAGGATCTATCCTGCACTTATGGAAAGTGATACCTTGAAACCGGTCTGTGAATGATGTATTCGAATGATTTGGATGAACCAGAAACATCAATGCACGACTAACATCTGTGAAAATTTTTGCATGAATGTCTGTCGGATATAATGCAATGTCATCGTGGTAGTAGCCGGGGGAGTAGTTGTTTTCCATTTCGAAATATTCATTTTTATATATTTTCTATTTTCCTTCTTCGACCATCGTTGCTGCTTGGAATTAATTGTTAAACTGAGTTGTCATATTTACTTGCATTATCTCAGACATAAGGGGCTTACCCAGCTCTCTATAGTAGAATCTCCGATGTGTTTATTCACTTTATATTTGTTATAAATTCAGCTACAGCGAGTAGAACCTTTATTCTCATATAACAGAGTTGCTTTACTCAACCAACGGTATCAATTTCCTAGATTATGTGAAGAGGTAACTAGCAATTTCACACTCCAAAGTAATTAAAGCGCATTTTCGACCAGATACGTCGAGATGGGTGGCTTGAGAAGGATCTTTCCAAGTTGCGTCAGTGACGCAAAGTGATATCATTTTCAAGATGAATGTACTTATTGAATTAATCAAACCCAGAACCATTTTGTTTTTCATCAGTTCGGACTTCCATTGTCTAATATAATTGATTTGATCTACCTGAAAGAATTCGTGGAAAATTGAAAAGATTAACCGAAAAATAACAATTTTGTTGAACAAAAGACCGAAATTACAAAGAAATAACATACAAGCAACAACCAAAAAATAACAACAAGAAATGATAATTAAAAAGTGAAAGATTTCAAACCAAGTTATGTCACGACGTTTCGATTGTTAGTATCCACAATCGTTTTCATCTTCATATTGCTGAGCACAAGCTGAAATAATCCACAAGGAGGAACACTAGTTTAGGAGAAAATTCAAAGAAGCCGCGTATGTGTTGTCCAACAACGCATTTAGTCAAGCTAGCGTAGAGATACGTAGCATATGGAAACCTCTAATCAAGCGGAAAACGACCAACTCCCGCCGAACGGTCATCTCCCGCTAGAACCAATGAAGTGGAGAGAGGGAAGAGGGGATAGGTGAAAGCACTCGAATGACCTATAAATAGTCAGATCTCGGAGGAATAAGTCCAGTTATCACCCGAAGACGATTGTGGATACTAACAATCGAAACGTCGTGACGTAACTTGGTTTGGAATCTTTTAATTTTATTAAAATTGTTATTTTTTGGTTAATCTTTTTAATTTTTTACAGATTCTTTCAGGGATTTCAAATCAATTTGTATTAAATTAGACAATGGAAGTCCGAACTGATGAAATACACCACGAAACATTGTGAACCACTTTCAAACAAACCAGAACCATTTTGTTTAGCATGATATATTTCTTAAAGCAATATTCATTCGGTTGTTTTACCTGATTTAAAAATCTGTTTCTATCTGATTCGGATATATAACAACCGTCAGCAATATCATATACCCCAAAAAAACATCATAAAAATCCAAACTTATGTTTTTTTGCTAGTGGAGTTTGTCAATAAACATGTGAATAGCAAATTAACCAGTACATGCGAATCCCTTTTTCACCATTGAGGTTTATACCATGATAGCGAATAACGCTAACAAAGAGACACGGTGGTTGGAAGTCTACCAATGTCGCTGAAGAATATGTGTTAGGTAGGCTGATATGTTCGAAAGCTAATTCACAGATGTCGCTACTCGTGTTCAATCTAGAAAATAATTTTTGATGACCTCAAAGTAAAGTTGATAGAGATAGTTGAGGATCTATAGATATCAAAGGAACGTGTTGGAAATATTCTGCATTTTGTGCTCTGTTCAAACTGAGTGCCGTGTGAGCTCACAAAATCAACAGATTTTTCTCAGCAGTGTTTGAAGTTGGTCCACCATTAGAACCCAGAATTATTGCATCGATATGTGACAATGGATGAAACATGACTCCATCCTTTCACACCAGAATAAAATGGTTGTCCTGCACCTGCTGAACCGACTCCAAAACATGAAAAGAAGCATCAGTCTTCTGGCAAAGTTATGATATCAGTATTTTATGATGCACATGGTATAACATCTATCGACTAACTCGAAAAGGGGAAGACCATCAACAGCGACTATTATAAAGCGTTACTGGAGCGTCTGAAGGACTAAATAACAGAAAATGGCCCCATTTGAAGCAAAGAAAAATGCTGTTTCATCAAGACATGCACAGTGCCAGAAATCAATGTAAACGATGGCAAAATTGCATGAGATGGGCTTCGAATTGTTTCTGTATTCACTGTATTCTCCAGATCTGACCCAAGGCGACTCTTTCCTGTCCTCAGACCTCAATAAAATGCTCGCTAGAAAAGAATTCAGCGCACGTCGAAACGGAGGCTCATTAATGAGGCTGAGGCTAAAGACAAATCGTACCATAAAATTGTTATCGAAAAATTATATATGCTATAATGGTTATATCGCCTTCGAAGCCGACTATATTGAATAATTGTATCAAATTTCATCAAAAAATCTTTACATTTCGACTATGTACTGTTACTTTCATGTGTTTGAACAACAAATAGACAATTATAACAGATCCAAGGAACAATACAGACTCAAAGCCGCCCTTCACCAAAACGACTATGCCGTCTACCAAATCCAAAGGTCCATTCAACGACAGCAAATCCAAACCCAAACCCCTTACCACGAATTACCCGATGAACATACTGACCAGCCAAATGATTTTCTTCCTTACATCCATGGACAAAGTGAGCCAAATTCTAAAGAGGCATAACAATATACAATATTCACAGCCAACAATCAAATCTCCACACCGAAACGAAAGGTGGGAGGAGCTCTTGGAATCCCTAGAGCCTGGGGAGGACGAGCTTTGGCGAGTCACCCGCAGACTCAGAAGGAAGAAGATTGCTTCCTCACCCATTCACGGAGAGCGCGGAGTGTGCTACTCCCCCGCCGACAAAGCATTATCCTTTGCCTACACGATGGAAGGTCAGTTTCAGCTTAACGTTGACGACAATGACAACATCGACCGCAATATTCTGTTGGAAGATCGGGTTCACCGTATCCTCAGGGAAGATGGTGACGACAATATCCGTCCGGCTTCTGTGGAAGAGCTGAAGGGTTACATCAGGTCCGCAAAGGCCAAGAAAGCTCCGGGGGTCGATCCGATAATCAACAAGTTGTTGAAGAGGCTCCCGGAAAACTGCGTCGAAAACCTACTGCATATCATAAACAGTTCGTTGGCCCTCCCAAAAAAGGGTCAGAACCCAGCTGTTTCCACAGAACTATCGCCCGATTAGTCTGCTCTCGTCGGCAGCTAAGCTGGCTGAAAGAGTGGTTCTGCAAAGACTCAATGAAGAAGTCGAGGACCGAAATGTTCTGCCTGACGAACAGTTCGCCTTTAGGAGAGAACACTCCACTCAGTTACAGGCTCTGAGACTGATCGAAAACACCATCGCGGAACTGAATCAAAACAAAAAAAGTTCATGTTGTTCTATTAGACATCTCGAAGGCCTTCGATCGTGTATGGCACGTAAGGTAAAAGATTCCAAACCAAGTTGTGTCACGACGTTTCGATTGTTAGTATCCAAAATTGTTTTCGTCTTCGCATTGATGAGCACAAGAAACACACACAGCGAAGAGAAATCAGCAAATCCGGAATAGCAGAGCATGTTTGGACTCATCAACATAATATCAAGTGGGCTCAAGCTGAAACCATCCACAAAAAGGAACACTGGTTCAGGAGAAAATTCAAGGAAGCCGCGTATATGTTGTTCAACAACGCATTTAGTCAAGCTACCGTAGAACCATTTTGTTTAGCATGATATATTTCGTAAAGTAAAAATCATTCAATTGTTACGTTGTTGTGATTTACAAATCTGTTTCTATCTGATTCGGATATATAACAACCGTCAGCAATATCATTTACTCCAAAAAAACATCATAAAAATCCAAACTTATGTTTTTTTTTGCTAGTGGAGTTTGTCAATAAACCAGTACATACGAATCCTTCTTTCACCATTGAGGTTTATACCATGATAGCGAATAACGCTAACAAAAAGACACGGTGGTTGGAAGTCTACCAATGTCGTTGAAGAATATGTGTTAAGTAGGCTGATGTGTTCGTAAGCTAATTCACAGATGTCGCTACTCGTGTTCAATCTAGAATATAAATTTGGATGGCCTCAAAGTGAAGTTGATAGATATAGTTGAGGATCTATACATATCAAAGGAACGTGTTGGAAATATTGTGCATTTTGCGCTCTGTCCAAAGTGAGTGTTTGAAGTTGGTCCACCATTAGAACCCCGAATTCATGCATCGATATGTGACAATGGATAAAACATGACTCCATACTTACAACACTAGAATAAAATGGTTGTTCTGCACCTGCTGAACCGACTCCAAAACATGAAAAGAAGCATCAGTCTTCTGGCAAAGTTATATCAGTATTTTATGATACGCATGGTATAATATCTATCGACTAACTTGAAAAGGGAAAGACCATCAACAGCGACTATTATAAAGCGTTATTGGAGCATCTGAAGGACTAAATAACAGAAAAAGGCCCCATTTGAAGCAAGGAAAAGTGCTGTGCCATCAAGACTTGCACAGTGCCACAAAACAATGTAAACGATGTCAAAATTGCATGAGATGGGCTTCGAATTGTTTCTGTATCCACTGTATTCTCCAGATCTGACACAGGGTGATTTTCTGGACTCAGACCTCAATGAAATGCTCCCTAGAAAAGAATTCAGTGACCGTCGAAACGGAGGCTCATTCATGAGGCTGAGGCTGAAGACAAATCGAACCATAAAAATTGTATGACCGCAATAATGGCTGTATCGCCTTCGAACGCAACTATAGTCAATGATTAAATCAAATTTTATCAAGAAATCTCTACGTTTCAACTATGTACTGTAACTTCCATGTATTTGAACAACATATAGACAATCACAACGAATCTAAGGAACTATACAGACTCAAAGCCGACCTTTACCAAAACGACTATTTCGTCTACCAAATCCAAAAATCCATTCAACGACAGCAAATACAAACCCAAACCATCCGAAATATTTTCTTCCTTACATCCATGGATTCATGGACAAAGTGAGCCGAATTCTGAAGAGGCATAACAATATACAATATTCACAGCCAACAATCAAATCTCGACACCAAAACGGAAGGTGGGAGGAGCTCTTGGAATCCCTAGAGCCTGGGGAGGACGAGCTTTGGAGAGTTACCCGCAGACTCAGAAGGAAGAAGATTGCTTCCTCGCCCATTCACGGAGAGCGCGGAGTGTGCTACTCCCCCGCCGACAAAGCATTAGTCTTTGCCTACACGATGGAAGGTCAGTTTGAGCTTAACGTTGACGACAATGACAACATCGACCGCAATATTCTGTTGGAAGATCGGGTTCACCGTATCCTCAGGGAAGATGGTGACGACAACATCCGTCCGGCTTCTGTGGAAGAGCTGAAGGGTTACATCAGGTCCGCAAAGGCCAAGAAAGCTCCTGGGGTCGATTCAATAACCAAAAAGTTGTTAAAGAGGCTGCGTCGAAAACCTACTGCATATCATAAACAGTTCGTTGGCCCTTCCAAAAAAGGGTCAGAAGACAGCTGTTCCCACAGAACTATCGCCCGATTAGTCTGCTCTCGTCGGCAGCTAAGCTGGCTGAAAGAGTCGTTCTGCAAAGACTCAATGAAGACGAACAGTTCGGCTTTAGGAGAGAACACTCCACTGAGTTACAGGCTCTGAAATTGGTCGAAAACACCATCGCGGAACTGAACCAAAACAAAAAAAGTTCATGTTTTTCTATTAGACATTTCGAAGGCCTTCGACCGTGTATGGCACGAAGGCCTTCTGCACAAACTAATCGCGTTCGACCTGCTTTGGTACCTGATGTGGTGGATTAGGTCTCTTTTGATAGACAGAATATTTCAGGTCAGAGTAGAAGACTCTCTGTCTGACGACAGAGAGATCCTTGCTGGAGTGCCACAGGGGGCCGTGCTCTCCCCTACGCTGTACTCACTTTACACCAGTGACCTTCCGAAGCCTGAGCGTGTGAACACAAGGCGATAATCATGGAAAGATTGAAATTTCCTCCGGTGAGAAAAGTGAGGATCTCTGGAAGGGAAATCGACTGGCAAGCGCGGATAAAGTACCTTGGCCTTCTAATAGACCGTAGGCTCACCTGAAACCCGCACATCACAACCGTGAAGGCAAAGATCGAGGGTCGGATCAAAAGTTTGTACCCTCTGATCAACAGCCGTTCTGAATCAAGCCTGAAAAACAAGATTACGATCTACAAAACAATGTTCAAGCTTCAGGCGTCTGGGGACAAGCGGTTCCGTCTAATATCTCCATTCTGGTGAGATTACAAAATAAGTTAATACGGATGATAGTGAATGCTCCGTGGTTCATAAGGAAAGAAGCCATCCGCAGATATTTGCAGCTGCCTTCCATTAAGCAGTTTATTCAGTCAAAGAATCGGCAAGTATTTGATTGCGCAGAAACCCACGATAATCCGTCGGTTAGGGAATCTATGGATGCTGTAGACGAACCCTCCCGATATAAAAGGCCCAGACACTCTGTAGAGTGAGGGCCTCATGTCCTCCGTTAAAACATAAACAATATCTTCATCCAAACACCCCAGCCAGGTAGAGGCCACGTGAAGGGCGGCACTGATGTCTGAGGACATTCATGCCATCATCCCATAAATCAGTCTTAACCAGTTTGTCTCTCTGACGAACATCAGTCCAAAGGGTAAGGGACGTTTGTCTCTCTGACGAATATCGGTCCAAAGGGTAAGGAAGCCAGGCCTAATCTGTTCAAGCCAAGATGATACGAACAATCAAATCTCCACACTTTTATGAACCCCCAAGAACACGATTCACAATGAGACACAATGCATATATGAAATATCATGTTCTACTTAACCCAGAACTCACATCGCCCAGACAAAGAAGAATTTCCAACAACGCCTATGAACGTGAACTAGCTGTTTGTTTATCAAATCCAGCATAATCCCTCTTCAAACATCACCTTGAAACATGACTCACAATGAGCTTCAGAAACACCACAACTATTGCTACGGAGAAAACTCTTCATGCCAGGATAATTCGTGGAGCCATTGAATTTGAAAAGCGCCCCGACTGTCCTAAAAAACGAGATGATTCACAGAGACTACCGCAATCAACGGTCATTATTGTCTCCCCAAACATCTCAAAGTAACTCACGTTAAGCAGAACGACAAGAATCTATTTCCGGCAGGTCGAGTACCTGTTACGAAACTTCGACTTCATATCTGTCTAGCAAAATAAAAATACTGGCTCCGAGTAACAAAAGTATCAGTGTTCACTTGGAGCTGAACAAAGCAAGAACAAAGCCAGTTACGAGACGGGGAGGGTCGGGGAAATTGCGACCCCGTCGTCGAGTCATGAAATTTTAGTTTGAAGTGATTCTTGAAAATGGCTTCAAAGCAGAAGCCAAAACGTTTAACAGATAAAAATCACAGACGCTGCTCAACCTGGTTGACAGTACATCAAATTGCTGACCGCGAAAACCTTTCCTATCCTCACAAGTATTATTTCCACAACGTTTCCTGAAAATCTCATTTGCCATCTTCTGGTGATGTTTGGAGTTCAGAACTAGTTTAGAACTTCATGTACATCAGGTTGGAGACTGGCTACCTTATTCCTTCTACGTGTTTTCGTCAGGAGGACAAATGTTTCATATCTGATGGTGGTTGATTGCTGAGTGACGAGGCCTTCTGAATCGTGAGGGATCGTCTATAGCATAATCTACGGTTTCCCTAACTAATGGGTTATCATAAGTTTACGTTGATTCGAAAACTCTCTTATTCCTCAACTGGCTGGTCTGTTGTATGATCAACAGCTTCAAATCTCTGCAGATGGCTTCATTCCGCACGAACCATGGAGCATTCACCAGCATCCGTAGTATCTTATTTTGCAAACTTCCAAAAATGGAAAGATTGCTCGAGGTGGTTTGTCCCCAAGCGCCTGAAGCTTACACAATGATAGGATTGAACATCGAGTTGTACAATAAAACCTTGTTATTAAGATTAAGCCTTGAATTTTGGGTAAAAAGAGGTTAGAGGTTAGCCATCCTCATTTGAATTTTGATTCTGGTGAATTTCTAGTGCTGTATACTATCGATCTATTTGTAGCTTCTGAAGTTGATATTGTGACTTGTATCAAGGTGGTGTTTGGTAAGGCCTGGACAGTTTGTGAATGCCAACTGTGATGTTGGCGAAACCCCGATAAATACAAAACGCATGTTTTTCCGAAAAAAACATTTTCAGATCAACTATCCATTATTTCTGTATCCTTTTTTTTAAAATATTCTTTTTTGAATCCTCATTTCATCGTACATTCGATGATGAATATATCTTTTTGAAGCTTCAAGAATCGATTTTGAACCTTGATCCATCACAATGGAAACTATGGACATTTTTATATCGGGTATTTAATAATTCTTGATTCTGTTATTTCAATCAATTGTATTTGATTCATTCGAGTAATTGAATTGAACGAACCATTTGAACTCATTTTAATGAAGCGTTATTGCGTGAATTGATTGAACTTGATAATGTAGGACATACACGTGTTCATTTCAAGGTGGTTGACAATGTTTCGTTGTGCATTTCATTACTTTGGACTTCCATTGTCTACTATGATACAAATTGATTTGAAGTCCCTTAAAGAATCTATAACAAATTAAAAAGATTAGCTGAGGACATCACGTGCAACCTTGATAGCTTTGAACATCTAAGTGGAGATTTGTAATTTTTCTATAGATACTTTCACCGGAAGTGTTCAAGTAACTTTTTTTTTCCAAAAATAACCGCATAAACCGCGAAGGGTTATTAGCGGAGGAACAATTTTATGTAATAAATGTTCAAAAAATTGAAATATTGACACGAGATGAAAATTAAAAATTATTAACAAGAAATGAAAATCAAAAATAAAGGAATCCTAGCAAAGTTACTTCACGACGTATCGATTGTTAGTATCCACAATCGTCTTCCGGTGATAATGGTCCATACAAGTGAGAGGGCTTACCGTGGTGCAGTGTTAGCGATGATCCCTCTTTTTTCAAAAAATAGGCTTGGTGTTTTTTCTGGTAAAACTTCCTTTCAATTGATGCAGTGGGGTCCCGTTCGATCTTCGGGTATATTCCTTTCTGAAGCACCTCTTCGATCTTCTGTTCGTAGAGATCAGTACCCATCACAACAGTAGCGTTTCCTTTATCTGCAGGTAAGATCTTGATGGTGTTATATTTACGTAGGCCGTTCAGAGCTTTTCGTTCTTCATTGCTGATGTTGGATATTGAAACTGGTTCTCTAATTTTCCATCTGAATTTTTCTGGGGCGCAGCAAATGGGGCACAGAGTTTGGTGCAACGGCGAAGTTTAGACCTTTCCTCAACAAGGATTCCTCTTTGTCCGTGAGCGGGCACCAACTTTCCCCACTTCCTGTTGTGGATATTCTCCATGGCTTAGCTTCAAGCATGTGATTTTAATCTTGGCAGAGATTGGTCCATGATCCTCTTCCAAGGTCTCTCTTCTTATTTTCTCAAATCGTTCTGTGGAGTCCTGCATCAGAGTTGACCTCTTCCAAGAGTGGCGCGTTCCAATATGCGTTTGACTATCTCTCTCTTGGGATTGGCGATTTCAGCAGAAAACCTTCAGTTATGATGTTGTTGTCTCTCTAGCAGTTATCACCCGAAGACGATTGCGGATACTAACAATCGAAATGTCGTGGAATCTTTCAATTTTTAATTTTCATTTCTTGTTAATTATTTTCATCTCGTGTTAATAGTTAAATTTTTTGATTGTTTATGGTATTTTATTTCAATTTAATTTTAGTTTTTTTTTGCTCGAAGCAGAAAGCGGGGTTGTATGACTTGACATCATTATATCCGGTTCGGAGACATTTATATTCTTGGAGAAAATCGATATCTGGGTTTTTGTGGCATTGAATTGAACCTGGTTCAATTCGAAATCACTTCTAGACCCTCAATAAGATATGCAACCTCCTATTGCCGGTGAAGATGTGCCTCCTTAGTCGATGTCCTGGAATCCAAATGGAATGACGAGACAAGTGTGCTGTCGTCAGCAAAGTAATTTATTAGATTCTTGATTTTTTCCAATAAGTCGCTAATATACAATAAAAAGAGGGTTGGACACAATATGGATTCGAGTAGTAAGTCTGTAGTAATATGTAAGTAATATGTAAGTAAGTAGTAATATGCATTTTGGTTCAAAGCAATTGGTCATAAGTATTCTGCGAAGTACATAATGAGCGTTTTTTGTGTCCAAATGAAATGATTGGAAACCTCTTTGATATAAGTCTCATGAATGAAACAAGAAATAAATGAAATTATCTATTTACCGACAAGCAAAGGGATCCTGAATGAATGTCCGATTCCCAGAATGCAAATGAATCTTTGAACGATT